ATTTGATTGTTTTTGTAGCTATTGTGAATGGGATTGATCTTAGAAGTTCTTCCTCAGCCATGGCATTGTCTGTGTATACAAAGGCTGTTGATTTTTGTGCATTGATTTTATACCCTGCTACTTTGCCAAACTCTTCTATGAGTTCCAATAGTCTCTTAGTAGAGTTCTTTGGGTCCCCTAAATAAAGAATCATATCATCTGCAAAGAGGGATAGTTTGAGTTCTTCCTTCCCAATTTGTATCCCTTTAATTTCTTTTTCTTGCCTAATAGCTCTGGCTAGAACTTCAGCAGGTTAACACCCTGGCCTGAAGCGCTGGCATCCCATATGGACACCAGTTCTAGTCCCAGTTGCTCCACTTCCAATCCAGCTCCCTGCTGTGGCCTAGGAAAGCAGTAGAGGATGGCCCAAGTCCTTTGGCCCCTGTACCCGTGTGGGAGACCCAAAAGAAACTCCTGGCTCTTGGCTTCGGATCGGTGCAGCTCCAGCTGTTGCAGCCAATTGGGGAGTGAACCAGCAAATGGAAGACTTCTCTTTCTGCCTCTCTCTCTCAGGAGTGGAATGGCTAGGTAATACAGTAGGTCTATATTCAGATTTCTGAGATATCTCCATACTGTCCTCCACAGTGGCTGCACCAGCTTACATTTCCCCAAATAGTGGATTAGGGTATGTTTTCCAATAGCCTCTAAGTGGAATCTTTTGGATCCTTTACATATAGAATCATGTCATCTGCAAATAGGGATAATTTCACTTTCTCCTTCCCAATTTATATCCCTTTGATTTCATTTTCTTGCCTAATGGATCTGGCTAAAACTTTCAATACTATATTAAATAGCAATGGTGAGAGTGGCATCCTTGTCTGGTTCCAGATCTTAAGGGGAATGCTTCCAAGTTTGTCCCATTCATTAAGATACTGGCCATGGGTTTGTCATAAATTGCCTTGATTATGTTGAGGAATGTTCCTTCTATACCCAGTTTGCTTAAGGTTTTCATCATGAAAGGATGTTTTATCTTATCAAATGCTTTCTCTGCATCTGTTGAGATAACTTTATTATTTTTGTTCTTCAGTTGGTTAATGTGCTGTGTCACAATTATCGATTCGCGAATCTTGAACCATCTCTTCATCCCAGGAATGAATCCTACTTGGTGTGGGTAAATGATCTTTCTGATGGGTTGTTAGATTCGATTAGCTTGTATTAACTGATAGAATTCAGCAGTGAAGCCATCTTGTCCTGGGCTTTGCTTTGTTGGAAGGGTCTTTATTACTGATTCAACTTCTGTCTTGGTTATTGGTCCATTAAGGCTTTCTGTGTCTTCATGTCTCGATTTTGGTAGACTATATGTATCTAGGAATCTATACGTTACTTCTGTTTTCCATTTTGTTGGCATATATCTCTTTGTAGTAAATACTTAGTTTTTTTTATTTCTATGGTATCTGTTATGTTTCCTTTTTCATCTCTGATTTTATTGATTTGGGTCTTTTCCCTTCTTTTTTTCCTTTGGTTAGTTGGGCCAATGGTATATCAATTTTGTTTATTTTTTCAAAAATCAGCTCTTCATTTCACTCATCTTTTGTATTATTTTTCAATTTTGTTTATTGCTTCTCTAATTTCATTGTTTCTTTCCTCCTATTATTTGGGGCTTTGGTTTGTTGTTATTCTTCTAGGTCCTTGAGATGCACTGATAGCTTTTTTATTTTTTACATTTCCAATTTCTTCTTGTAGGCACCAATTGCTATAAACTTCCCTCTTAATACTGCTTTTGTTTTAATCCATAAGTTTTGGTATGATGTATTGGTTTCATTCATTTCCATAAATTTTATTTCTTCTATGAAATACCATTCTGGAGCATGTTGGTCCGTTACTATTTGTTTGCATATGATCTAGAATCTAGGGATTCTTGAGTTGTTGATTTCTAGCTTCCTTCCTTTATGGTCAGAGAAGATGCATGGTATGATTTCAGCTTTTTTGAAATTGCTGAGACTTGCTTTATGGTCTTGCATATGGTCTATTCTAGAGAAAATTTCATGCACTGATGAGAAGGATGTGTATTCTGCATCTATGGGGTGAAAAGTTTTGTAGATATCAGTTAGGTCTATTTCTCTCATGCACATTTTAGAATCTTTTCTTTGTTTTACTGTGGAAAGTTTGACTACACTGTCTCATGGTGAAGATGTTTTGTGGTCATGTCTATTAGGGGTTCTATGTGCTTCCTGTACTTGGACATCTCTTTCTCTGAAAAGTTTTTTGTAATTTACTAAATCAGCTTTCTAGTCTATTTTCTCTTTCTACATCTACAGGAACTCATGTTGGGTCATTTGATAGTATCCCATAAATCTCCAAGACGGTTTTTAATTTTTCTAGTTTGTTTATTTGTTTAATTATTGGTCTAACTGAAAGGTTTCCAAAAATTTGTCTTCTAGCTTGGATATTCTTTCTTCTGCTTCACCAATTAGTTGTTAAGGCTTTCTACATTTTTATTTGATCTTTTGAATTCTTCATTTCTAATAATTCATTTTGATTTCTCTGTAAAAATCTCAGTTTCATGAGAAAAATTTCTATTCATGTCATGTATGGTTTTCTTTAATTTGTGAATTTGCTTCTCATTGCTTTTGAGTAATCCTATGATTAATCTTTTTAATTCCATTTCAGGAATTTCATCAATCTCTTCATCTTCACATTCTAATATCAAAATGTTGTTGTGTTCTATTGAGGGGGTCATGGTGCCTTCCTTATTCTTGTTTACTGAATTTCTGTGTTTATATTTAGGCATTTGTGGAGTAACTTGTTGTTTTTTCCTCTGATGGCTTTTATCTTTGAATTATGCATCTGTGACTTAGTGGAATTTCTGCAGTTTCAGTGAATACCAGGAGGTATATGCTGGGTGTGGCCAGGGTGCTCAGGTCAGTGTTTCAAGGTGGGTCAAGTATCCAGGCTAACACCCAAGTTTGGTGTGGTAGATCGCCTCATGTTAACAGAACAGGGGAAATGGTCACCTCTGTTGGTGTGATCACCCCTGCACCTCCTCTCCTCCTACCTGAGCCACGTCTGGATGTTAGCCCCCAGTGGTTTCAACAGTTATATGTGCCACTGTAGGAACTGCGCAAATGATCTGCATGGTTCCCACTGCAGTGTCCCACCCCAGGCAACCAAGGAGCTCCAAGCATGAAGAGCCACACCCAGTGATTGCCCAGAGACCCAGGTACACCCTGTACCCTCTCATGTAGCCACTGAGTCCACACAGTCTCAGCACACAAGACTCTCAGAGTGTCTGGGTACAGAGGGCTGTCTCTGCCCTACCATCCTATCCAGTTAACAGAGAGGCAGATCTTCCCCCAGCCAGCTCCACCGAGGTTGCTTGAGCCCCAGAGCCTTTGGTATGTTAGAAGGCCAGGCCACCTCACAATCCTGCTGGGTATCCAGCCACCTGTCAATCCTCCCAGCAATGCTCAAAGTCAGTGGGGACTGTGGATTTTTCCCTCTGCTCTAATCTCTGGATTACATACATATACAAGAGCCACTGTCCAAATATTGCCTTCTGCTCACCAGCACCTCCAGTACTGTCTTGTCTCAAGTTGCTGCATGCATCCACAGAGGCTTCTGCAGCTGCCATCCACGCCCGAAAGGAGCCTGCCCTTTCTCACCCAGGCAGCAGACACTGTTGAGGGGAGGACGGGGTGAGCTAAACATTCCCATTTTACTTCCACTGGGTCCACACGTAGCTGCTAATGACCTCTAGCCCCTAGGGCTCCAGATTAGACTCACACCACGCCCTCTCTCAGGCCATATCACCACGGGTTGCTGCAGTCTGGTCACTCTTCCATCTCCAAGCTGCCACCCGCTCCGGCTCAGCTGCTGCATTCATGTGTTGTGTCCATGTTTCTGCTGTGTGTCCGCACATTCCACTCAGGAATTCTACAGATTTCCATTTCCTTTTGTAGAATTTCCTCTGTGGTTTTCTAATTCTCCCCTGAGAGTGTACTTCCTAACTTTTTTTAAAGCTGTTACTGCTCCAATCCCATTCAGAAAATCATTTTTGTAAAATATTTGTATAGAGATGATCTTTAATAATTTTGCAAATCATGGGGCTAAATTGAACTTTAGATATTTATTTCCTATGCTGTTGCATCTTATTGTCTGCTGTACAGACCTGTATGGCCATAATAACACAATTTAAGCCATATTCATTAGAATTCAGCTAGGTATTTATGGTTGTGCTGTGTATCTTCTATTTATTCTACTCCCATCACATATGCATTCTCCACCTTTTAGCCTATCATCCACCCCAGCATGCTGACTTCATTGTCTTCTGCCTTCTAACTGTTCAGGCAATGGGGAGCTCTGACAAGTTATGGAAGTTAAGGGAGTCAGGAAGTTCATCCCCATGGATCCTTCCCTAAAAATGTTCTCAGGTTGATTGTCCCTCTCTTGTGAAGACTAACACTTCTCTTCAGGAAGCCTGCTGCCTTTATCATCAGCCCCTGGTCTCTTGTGCTCTGGGGATGACAACAGCTCTGCTCTTGTTGGCCTCAGGTAACTATACTTAATCTGTTATGGTTCTCTTACATCCCCACCCACATCTTTATAATTAATCTATTTACAACTAGGCCCCAATTTATCCAAAGAGCTTATTCGGACTATGACTGTAATAAGGGTAGTATTTAAATATGTACAATTTTTAGTCAGCCTGAGTTCTCTTCTGTTTCTTACTTAGATGTATTAATTTGGGCGAGTGTAAAACCTCTCTACATCACTATTTATTCATTTATAAAATGAGAATAATACTGACATGATAACGTTATTGTAAATGTTTTATGATAGTAGTATGAGACTCTGAAATAAACTAAGTATTCAACTAACATAAGCCATAATTTTTTCCTGTACTATGATTTGTATATTTGTGAATTTGAAAATTTTTATTTTATGTACAAGGATTTTTTTAAATTCTATAATTTGGGAGTGTCGGCAAAATAACTGATGGCTATTTTCCCATCCCTTCACAGAAACATCAAAAAACAAGCAGAAACTGTACCATTTGTTGATTAGAAGTGGTGAAAGCAAACATCCTCATCTTCTTCCTGACCTTAGGGGAAAAGCTTTCAATCTTTCAGCACTGAGAATGATGTTAGCTAGGTTTTTTCTCTATATGGCTTTTATCGGGTTGCAGAAGTTCCCTTCTATTCCTTCTTTATTGAATATTTTTAGCATGAAAGGATGTTGTATTGTGACATGCTTTTTCCATTGTTATTGAGATGATTAAATGTTTTCTTTGCTTCCTTGTATTACTGTGGTATGTTCCAATGATTGATTTTTGTATGTTAGATCTTGCATTAGTAGCATAAATTCCACTTGGTTATGATATATAACATAACCCTAGTAATTTTTTTTTGACAGGCAGAGTGAACAGTGAGAGAGAGACAGAGAGAAAGGTCTTCCTTTACCACTGGTTCACCCTCCAATGGCCGCTGCAGCCAGCACACTGCAGCTGGCACACTGCGTTGATCCGAAGCCAGGAGCCAGGTGCTTCTCCTGGTCTCCTATGCGGGTGCAGGGCCCAAGGACTTGGGCCATCCTCCACAGCACTCCCGGGCCACAGCAAAGAGCTGGCCTGGAAGAGGAGCAACTGGGACAGAATCCGGCACCCTGACTGGGACTAGAACCCGGTGTGCCGGCACCGCAGGTGGAAGATTAGCCTATTGAGCTGCGGCGCCGGCCAACCCTAGTATTTTCTTTAGGATTTTGTTTTAGTATTCATCAAGCCTATTAGTCTATAATTTCTTGTCTGGGCTTGGTACCAGGCAATAATATTGGCCTAACAGTATGCATTAAAATGTGTTCCCTCCCCTTTAACTTATTCAAAGACTTTATGATTGATTATTAATTCTAACCAGAGAAATTAAGCAAGAAAAAGAAATAAAAGTTATCCAAATTGGAATATGGTAGTTATCTAGGATTGCTGTAAGGAAAAACAAAATTGAGTGGCTTAAAATAACAGTAATTTATTCTGCCATGGGTCTGATGGCTAAAAGCCTAATGTCAAGGTATCAACAGGGCCATGTTTCCTCTGAAACACATGGTGGAATTCTTCCTTGCTTTTCCCAGCTTCTGATAGTGGCCATAAATCCTTGTTGCTCCTTGGCTTGTAGCTATATTGATCTCTGGTTCTGTTATCCTTTATTCTTCTACCTGTACATGTTGATCTCTGTGGGTCTTCGTCCCTTTTTTATAAAAATACCACTCATAGTAGATTAACGGGCCAATCTACTCTAGTATGGTCCTAACATAGGAACCTACCATATTTCCAAATAAGGTTATGTTATTACGTTCTAGAAATAACATAAATTTTAGACACTATCTAACTTGGTACAAAAAGGAGACAGTAAACTGTATTTACAGATGATATGATCTTTTATCTAGAAAACAATAAAAAGTCAATGTATGTACACACAGAGACATACACACATAAACTGTTAGAGCTAATACACGAATTCAGCAAAGTTCAGGATAAAAATCAGCACCAAAAACCAAAAATCAGTTTTATTTCTATATACTATCAAAATCCCCATGGAGTTTTTTTGGAAATAGAAAAACTCATGAAATCATATGGAATCTCTAGGGATCCAAAATAGCCAAAAAAATCTTTAAAAAGAATATAAAATCAGAAGACTCACAACTTCAGAACTTATTACTGAGCTCAAGTAATCAAAACTGTGGTGCAGACATAATTTTAGCCATATAGACCAATGGAATTAAGTTAAGAGCCCATAAATAAGCTTTTTATCTATAGAAAATTGATTTGACAAGAGTGAAGATGACTCAGTGGGGGGAAAAAAGGTGTCTTCCAAAAATGAATCTGGGACAACTGAATATCTACATGTAAAAGAATTAAATTGGAGTCTTACTGTAACCATAAACAGAAATTAACTCAAAATGAACCAAAGACCTAAATATAAGAGCTACAACTATGTATATGGAGATAAATCTTAATGACATTAGATCTGAGAATGGTTTATTAAATATGCACCAAAAGCACAGACAACCACAAAAAAAGTTATATCTCATGAAAAGTAAAATTTTTTTCTTCAGAGGACACTATCAAGATATTGAAAAGATAAACCACAAAATGAAAAAATATTTGTAAGTCATATGCCTAACTAATATCAAAATACAAATCAATGTGCAAAAATAAGTTGTATTTCTACATACTAGTCAGTAACAGAAAAGTGATTGAATTTTTAAAAAGTCAAAGGATTTGAGTAAACATTTCTCTGAAGATATACAAATGTCCACTAGCACATGAAAAGATATTCAGTATTCTTAGTCATTAAGGAAATGTAAGTCAAAACCACACTGAGATACCACTTAATACCCAAGAATTGGCAAAGATGATAACTGGAAATTGCTGATGTGGGTGTAAGATAATGTAGCTTCAGTAGAAAACATCTTACCAATTCCTTCAAAAATTTAACAGAGGAGCTGACATCAAGGAGCAGCAGGTTAAGCGGGCATCCCTTATCAGTGCCAGTTCAAGTCCCAACTGCTCCAGTTCTGATCTAGCTCCCTACTAATGTGTCTGGAAGGCCGTGGATAATGGCCCAAAAACTTGGACCTCTGCCACACATGTAGGAGACCCAGATGGTGTTAGTTTCTGGCCTTGGCCGGGGCCAGCCCTGGCATCATGGCTATTTAAGGAATGAACCAGCAGATAGAAGATATTCATATTATCTTTCTCCCTCTGTGTAACCCTGCCTTTCAAATAAATAAATAATTATTAAAAAAAAAAAAAACTAGGGTTTGGCATTCTGGTGCAGTGGGTTAAGCCACCACCAGTGATGGCAGCATCCCATAAGAGCACTGGTTTGAGTCTCAGCTGCTCCAATTCTAATCCGGCTCTTTGCTAATGCACCTAAAGCAGCAGTGAATCATGGCCTGATTCTTTGGGAATCACTCATGTGGGAGACCTGGACAGAATTCCAATCTCCTGGCTTCAACCTGGCCCAGCCCTGGCCCAGCCCTGGCCATTGCAGCCATGGGGGAACAAAGCAGTGAATAGATCTCTCCCTCTCTGTAATTTTGCCTTTCAATTAAATAAATAAATCTTAAATTAAAAAAAATCAGCATAGAATTACCATATGACCCAGCAATTGAACTCCCAGGTATACACCAAAAAGAATTTAAAATAGGGACATAAACATAGTAATATTGACAGTAACCAAAAGATAAAAACAACCCCCTGTCTGTCAGCAAATTGAATAACCAAAATATAGTGTATATATACAGTGTAATATTCAGCCATAAAAAGAAATACAGTCTTACCTCATTATAACTTGAATGACTCTTGTAAAAATGACCAAGAAAAATAAACCATGACCCTATTTTTATAAAATACCTTTAGTAGGCAAAATCAGAGACAAAAGGTAAATTAGTGGTTACCAGGACCTGGAGGAGGAGGGAATTTACTGCTCCAGTTGGTACAGAGTTTCTGTTTGGGATGATCAAAAGAATATGGAAATAACTGTGAATATAGTTATTGTCACTGAGTTTTCTATCTAAAAATGGTTAAAATGACAAATTTTATATATACTACTGCAATTTAAAAAAAAAAGTCTCTAAGATTTGATGTCTTCAGGCTATTCCCCTATTATTCATGTGGCCCTTACAATTTGTGGTCAGACAGTGGTGGAAAAAATTTCATAAGAGCTTTTCTTATGGGATCTCATTTACCTTGAATTGTGTTAAAAATAAGAAAGGTGGAAGAAGAGCTATTTCCAAGCAGGTAGAAGATTTTCTTCAAAGATGAAATCAGTACACTGAAGCTGGCACCTGGAAGAGTTGTGTTTTGAAGATTACGAAAACCATAGTTGAATGCTGAAAAGGAAGCAGAGGTGCCATTTCTAGTCAGTACAGTTACAAATTATCATTGCAAATATGTATGATTTTATGTCAGATCCACATTTGGACCTGGGAATTTTTTGTTTGCAAAACAATAGACAGTGATTATCATTTTTCTTCCTTTACATGTTCTGTTAAGACCTGGTAAAAAACTAGTCCAAAAGTTCCACAAATGAAAGTATTAAATGAAATTGGATATAGTTCAACAAAAAAGGCTTTCAATATTGGATTTAACAAGTAGTAAAATGTCATTGAACAACTCCAAGAAATAATAAATGAACCATTTATCTAATATATGACAGCATTAAAAATCACCCAGTTGGCATACAAATTAGGACCAGAATACTGTTTTTAATACAAACATAAAAAGATTACCAGATGTATTAATTATGAGCAATTTTGAAAAACTTTGTGGAAAATGCATATTATCTATTAAATCTATTCTCCATTTTTTTATATTATCTAAACTTATAAAGAAAAAGACAGGGGGCCGGTGCCATGGCTCACTTGGTTAATCCTCCGCCTGTGGCGCCGGCATCCCATATGGGCGCCAGGTTCTAGTCCCGGTTGCTCCTCTTCCAGTCCAGCTCTCTGCTGTGGCCCAGGAGGGCAGTGGGGGATGGCCCAAGTCCTTGGGCCGTGCGCCCACATGTGAGACCAGGAAGAAGCACCTGGCTCCTGGCTTTGGATTGGCGCAGCTGGCCGTAGCGGCCATTTGGGGGGGTGAACCAACGAAAGGAAGACCTTTCTCTCTGTCTCTCTCATTGTCTAACTCTGTCTGTCAAATAAAAAAATTTTTTTTTTAATTTTAAAAAAAAGAACAAATTTGGGAAATACAACTTATTCATGTGCCTGAATAACTTTAATTGGAAAATAAATTATATGATTTTAAGTATGTATTCATTAACTATTTCTTATAATTGAGTTGCAGTTTATTGCTTAGAGATGGTGTTTTTACAATTACCACTTCCCCTTATGTTTTCCTACTTCCACATTAATTATATCAGAAATCTTTGGAACCTGGTATTTCTTTTATACATAAAACACTGATTTTCCCCAGAATAGGAAAAGAACTACAAAGACCCTGGTTTAATTAGAGCCTCATGTCAAGGCTTCCATAGACCAGAATTAAGTTCTTCTAGATCTCACTTGTCAGTTATTCTATAATTCGCCTTATCCTAAAATGAAGCTGTGAGCTCCTGTATAATCAACCATATCCAGATGTGCTATGAGCACAGTTATATTAGCTTTAAAGGAAACTCAGATAATCTCAAGTGAATTAAGTGGATTCCTAAATCTCCAAAAAATATGCTACTGCACCAATGGAGAATTTGCTTTTGTAATGATCCTTGCTACTAAATAACCAAGTTCAACATGATAAATCAAATACTGTCTGTTGGAAGATTGTGGGAGTAGGAGGGCCTGTTTCAAGAAGCAAAATGTTAAGCCTAATTGTATCACATTTAATGTAAAACAAACATGGCAAGGTTTCACCCTCATCTCATTGCAAAGACAATCTTTAAAAAAAGAGAAACTTAAACGAGAAATGTCATCTCTGGTTGCTGAACTAAAATTAGATTCCCTAAGCATAGAGAGAGAACACATGTCAACGTGACATATACAAAAAACTTGATTTAATATATACCTCTTACAAAACTGAAAAGTGCAAATTTAATCCCAGAAAACAAGTATAAGTCAATCTAGGAATTAAGGCAATAATTATTCATTAGACAGAGATAGAGATAGCCTACCATTCACGTCATATATTAAGTGAACAAGGATATTTTCAAAGGACATTTTTATGTCTTTGAGATTACTCAGATTTAAAGGATATTTTGATTTTTAACATTAATCAAATTTTATCTTTGTGAAAATATATGATTTGTTTTGATACATGTAACAACCATTACCCACACTAACCTGCTCTCAACCTAAAGTCAAAGTCTCATATATCTAAGCTTGAAAAAACTCCATAGTGAATTAATCTCTTTCCAAAAAGTGAATTATGATATTTAGCAGGGATGTTACAATAGCTTGCTTAATGTGTTATTCTCTTACTTTCTGCCTTTGTGATAAAATAATGTAGTGAGATGCAACTCTAGAGACATTGATGGCTCTCAGACTGTAAAACTGACCAATAACTTGCACCAGAACAAAATGAAATCTCTGGGCTGTATTTTTCTAACTTTCAGTAAATTCTGAAGTATAAACATCAATTTCTATGTTAATCTCTCAGACTTGTAATACTTTAAAAATAATTTTACCTGTATGTAAGTCATATTTTATGGTTATAAGACCACTAAGATGTTTATCTCTGACCATGTATCACATAAAAAAAAAAAGAAATTGAGACTCTTTATTGTTTACTTAATCTTGACAATCCTTTGGAGAATATTAGGGATAGATCTTACTATAAAATGTTGTTATTCCTTTGCCCTTGTCATCAAAAAAAATTCATCTGAACAGAATTTCCAGTTACAGTCATGTTGCTAAAGTTACATTTGTATTTATATTTGTGTGTGGACATACATTATATATATATATATATATATATATATATATATGGTTTTTTCTTTAAATATATACATATAATTTCTAAATAACATTTGCTTCAGAAGCCAGAGGAAAGACAATGTTGAGGATATTCTGAATAACCAGTGTGGCTGGCTAATGCTTTCTGCATGTGGTGCATAATGTTTAGAATTTGACAGCTGTTTTCAGCTGAAAATTACCAGATTCATAGTAAGCACCATATGCCATTGCATCTCCTTTAAAGCCTAGTAGTGCAATTCTGTTCATTTACACTGCTGTCGATACCAAGGTTGTTCTGTCTTCAGATATTAGTCTGAAAGTTCATTTGTGCTATGGGAATGTGGATTTTTACCCATTCTCCTCCCATCCCATTACTTCGTGGATCCCTTAACCAAGCTAAACCAAGTTGTATGATACTGTAGTGATTACTGGTAGCCTTTATCTTTGGCCAGTGCTTTTGTCCTAGTCCTAGTCTGTTCAGCCTACTATGACAAAATATGATAAACTGTGTGGTTTAAGACAATAGAGATTTACTTTCTCATGTTTCTGGATGCTGAGAAATCCAAGATCAAGGCTCCTGCAGATCTGGTGTTTGGTAAGGTCCTTTCTGATTCATGGAGGACTGTCTGTTCTCTCTGTGGGCCTCTTTTATGAGGACATTACCCCATTCATCTGGGCTTTTCCTCGTGATGTCATCCCCTCCCAACAGTATCTCCTACTACAATCACTTTGGGGAAAAAAACAGTCAGGCAATGGAACTCTCCTCTCTTTAGTCCTGTTCGATTTCCCTCTTTGTTCAAACTCTTCCTCTAGCCTTTGGTCTCAGACATCGGAGACGCTGCTACTACAAAACAGTTCAAATCAGCTCAGTAGATGTTGTTGTCCCTATAGTAAATTTCTGTAACTGAAGATTCCATCTCGGCAGATCTTCAGATTAATGTGATACTTTTAAACCACTTTGAATGGGATCTTTCATCCATCAGAAAACTTATTAGGGCTCTTTATAGTTGTACTTTAGAATTTAGATAAAAAATGGGAAATGAATCTCCATTATCTCCATTATTAACTCATGTTACAAGATTGCAGATAATTATTTCTTGATCTTGGTATAACTATAAGCACTGGCTATGGTTAAACTTGGCTTTCTTCCTGACTTTTTTCTTGCCTTGTTTGTCATCAAATGTTTTAATCTATATATCAAGTACTAAAGAAGTATTTTAAATATTAATGCAAATTGAACACACTAGACATGGTATAAAGGTTTAAAGTAAAGATGAAAAGTCTTCTCCAGAACTCTGATTTGTTAAAAGATGAAACATAACCTATTTTAAAAGGACTATAAATTTAAAGATCATCCTATAAA